ATGTACGGGACTAAAAGCCAGGGGCTGATCCACCGGTGCTCTTGCGAACAATCATTGGTTGAGCGTTTTTCCATGTCCAGCTGCAGGAACAATTCTTTGTGCTTGTTTGACGCGATCACAATCAATCATTCATTTCATTCAGAATGTAAAAAGAACATTTTGTACTGTACAAGTGCAGATTCCCTATGGAAAAACCAAGCTCGAATTGATCCAACACACACACACACACTGTAGTACCCAATCTGCATGACATCGAACATCCCTTGCTATAATTACTGTAGTTCATTTGTGGCACCAGCTTGCAATGGACGGTGACACGGTCACACCCGAGTCGCATGAGCTACGCACCATCCTCAGACAAGAGGGCCGGATTTCTCCCGCAAGATTGATTTCCTGGTCTGGCGTATGCTGACGAAGAATTTTGTTTCTTACGGAAAGTGTGTCACGCACACTTTAAGCCTTAAGCCAATTGCAAGTGAAGCAAACTTGCACCGCGATGTTTGCACAGCGACCTGAAAAGCCCAGCTCCAAGGCATCCCTGTGGACGACACAGATGGTGGAACTGAACATGAGGGACAGCAGACGGCCCAGACGGAGAAGAACGACGGTGAAGCCGATGGTGGGAAGCCGATGGCCCATCCCCCTGCAGACGTCAACCTGAACTTCAACTCGCTCTATGAGGAGGCGACTGGCTCCATTGGCATTGCTCAGACCTGCAATCCTTGTCAGACCCGCCAGGTGTCCAGTTTAATGGTTCAGCTGCAGGCAGCACATCGGCTTTTGCAGGAAGCTCATCAGAAGGCCTTTTGGATGCAACGTCATGACACACAACACACAGACACAGACACCGGCGCACGTACGTACGTCAGAACCTCCACTTGAAGGTAGGCTTTTGAAGATTGACTAGTTCATTAGCTGGGTGATCCCAAGCAATTGAGCAAAAAAACTAGGTCACCAGGTCTTTCATTTCCTTCTTTCCGTGCTGCAGCTCCGTGTGGTGTTCGCCCAGGACATTTCGCGACGAAGGAAGAAGCTGCGACCGCCCAGGGAGCCCAAGCGTAGGAGGAGTTTGAGCGAGACTGTGCCTTAGCCGAGTGGTCTAAACCTGGAGATCTCGGACAGGTGGGGCACAGGAGGATGTGGATTGAGTCGACCAAATTCAGAAGAGTGAGCAAGAGCAGCCAGCTCTTTGGGGATGTGGGCACATGTTGGGCAAGTTGGCAAAACGAAGAGGGCTTCCAGGCGGTATGTTCAGCATGTTGGATTCCAAATCCAGTGATCGAGGGCGTGAAACGGGTTTGAAACAAGTGAGATTTCAATGACAGGAACCCCGATACGAGCAATGCAAGAACGGAAGGAGAAAATGGATTGTGCCAGCCCATTCGATTGTTCATCCAAGGGTCTGTAGCAAGGGCACCAAGAGAAGATGACCATCATTGGTAGGGGAAGGGTGTTGAGGGCATACCTGCAAAGAGGCAGGGGGGCCACATAGTCATCCAGGTGATTCAACTGCTCAGCCCCTGGTTTTGGGCAAGGACTCCAAGACCACAGTTGGTCCGATTCATGTTTCGGATTTTTTTGCATGCTCAGATGTGATTGTGTAGCACGAGTACAGCTCAGGAAGATGTCAATGCAGCGAATACAGTGGTCGAGGACGGGAGATCGTTCTGATGCTCACTACACATATTTGCCCGCTAATTAGTTCTGTTCAAGGATTTTGTGAACTGGGGGTGGAAACGACTTTTTGATATGGTCCAAGTCGCCAAACCTGCATACAGAGGCCCATCCGCTCTGGAGAGTCAAGGGAACAGTATGGATGTGTGTCACTAGGTTCGGAGTGCAACTTTTGCTTTCGCATGTGGCTATGATGGTGTCAGGTCAAGGCTACACTTCATTGCAGCCTGTCGGCCTGTAGGGTCACGGCTGCTGCCGCTACTGCTGACTACTGCCCCCCTCTGCGGAACGTTGGCCTGACCAAACCTGACTCACACCGAAGACCAAACTGCCAACGATCGCTCCTGCTTGGCTCGCAGGACAAGCCCCGCCACAAGCATGAGCACAGTGGAGCCGGAACCGGGTTTGGGTGATCGGATTGATCCAATTTTTGCAGCACTTTTTGGCAAAGATGTGGGTCGAACAGCTCAACGAACCCTGTGGCAGGACGCTCTTCGACAGTTGCAGGAGATACGACGCTTGCCCAAAACAGCTCGGTTGTTCAACCTGCCTTTGGTGTTTGCCTTTCTTTCACTCACCTCCCACCTATCACTCTCACACCCTCACACCACTCACTCCACTCGCTTCACTCTTTCACACCACTCTCTTGAACACACGCGCACATACACGCACACTATCTCTTTTCCTTTCTTTCTTTCTTTCTTGCTTTCTTTCTTTCTTTCTTTTTTTTCTTTCTTTCTGTGTCTCTCTCTCTCTCTCGCCTTCCCCCCTCTGCCTCTCCCTCCCTCTTTCCCTCCCTTCCTCCCTCTCCTCCCTCTTTGCTGCACTGAAACTGACCCATGCAAGTTTGCCTAGGTCGTCTTCAGATGAAGGAGGTGAATGTTGGTTGAAGAAATGCTGCAAGTCATATGAAAAAAGAGTCCGGGACACCTACAAGGAGTTCTGTCCAGAACCGGGGATGCAGGATGAGAACGAGAAGAAGGCGAAAAAGAAGCAGGAGTTTGGGAAGAGGGTTTAATGCCCGAGCATGGATAAAAGCACTGTGCAGAATCTCAAAATGAAGAATGACAAACAGGAGCAGGCTCATTATGCCCTGCCCCCACAGGAGGAGCAGCGGTTGAAAGACACATGGCGAGCACGATCTGCAGACCGCTTGGGACTACACTGGCTACATATGTTGGGGGCTTTTGCAGACAGCTTCGCCTTCAAGGTGCTAGCCAAGCGGTTAGGTCTTTATACTGCTGTTTAGAACAGGCCAAGCACAGATTTCATCGCAGACATTGCACCAGTATGAAGAATCCTGGCAAGTAACATCAAGTAACGTTTGCAAGAGATGCCGAAAACAAACAATAGCAAAGGGTGAATCAAGAGAAGGCTTCGTACCAAGTGCGTTTAAAATTTTCCGCGACGGGTACCAAGTGCGTTTAAAATTTTCCGCGACGGTGCGTGCTTCGAAGGCACAAACACAACAAAGCCCTTGCATGCATTCGTGTGCAAGCACGTCGCCGGGTTGGCTTGTTTTGTTGGATGTTTGTGACCAGAAGGTTGTGCCCTGAGCGCAGTTTGCGACACTTTCGAAAGCGTGAAAACGCACTAGCGGCGCACATCCTTCAAACACGGGTTGAAATCCTTACAGCGCTATGTTTTTGTGTGCATCAGGGTGATGGCACAGACATATTGACACTTGGAAGGCCAGTATGTGCAGATGTTTGCCATCGGCTCAGAAATTAGCAAGTGGCAGTTGGCAGTTCCTGGCTCGAGAATGCAGGCAAACACACAAAAAAAAGGTAGCAGTAGCGACAGCTTGTAATTGTAATTATATATAGTCTATGCGCCCTGCTGCTCTGCAACATGTTCAGGTTCGCAGGCAGTGGTGTCAGATTTGTTTATATAACTTGTCATTTTTCAAGCACAACGACCAGAGGTCCATGAGTTGTTCTTATGGGAAGGGAAGCTCCTGGTTCGGATTTTGGCATGCAGCATTTGCTTCATCTGAAATGGGTCCTCATCACTTCATATGGCCATCTCGGCTAGCGTTTCTCATCAGCCATGTGGTGGCACATCATTTGCGAGGGTGGCTCAGCATTTGCGATTGCGATGTTCCTTTGGCCATCAGAAGCGGCCTCGGTGTCCTTAGCTGCCTCTAGCTGCTCCCTGCTGTTGACCGCTTCCAGGCAAGGACGGACAACAGTTCACGAGACTTATATATCGCTCCGGAATGAGTGGGCCATGACAAGTGCCCTGCAAGTGATCTGTGCGCAGACAGGGGAAACCCACCTGAGTGACTAGAAGTGTTGTTGCTTTCCTTCTATCAACTGTTTGAGAAAGCCTCAAGTTGGGATGAGTGCACGCCCCCCAAAATGATACAACCGTGGGCATGTTCGGTGTGGTGTGGTATGCTTCAGGTTTCATTCACAGCGCTAGTGCATTGGGAATAGCATCGGGAGTTGCAAGTCGCAAACATCGCATTGGAATGGTCCGTGTGAGGTGTGTGCTGGTTTGCTTCGCTTGAATTGGAGAATGCTTCTGGGTTGGTTTTCTCCTGCAGGGTTTTTGTCCACCAACCATCTACATTCGGTTGATTTGGACCCAGTGAGTTGCTTGTGTTCATTAAGAAAAGCACTACTCAATAAGGTAAAGGACCTGGTTTTACTGGATCCTTTTTGATCTGTGGGGCAAAATGGACCTTCTGACAAACATGTCCTTCTACATACTGTAATTCTTTAAATAAGTCCCTACCTAGAGCAAGCAATGCAGAACACAGGCAGACGTTTCTAGAGAAAGTTAGTATGGAAGTCAGTTTTGGGCAGGGAAGAGCACCCAAACGTGGTAGACATGTCTAAACGAACGAAGAGCACATAGTCGTAGAGATTTTGAACGAGCGAGCAGTGCACCACCGTGGACCTCCACATCACTACATTGCACTTCACGACACTCAAGTTCACCGCATTGCCAACCATTACACCAACCACCAAACCAAACACTCACTTCAGAACTTCACACCACTCCGCCTCATGTGGGTGCACCAGCCAACCACATGATAAACCACCACACCAAGAACGGCAGATCACCAATCATCGCCAGGCTACACTTCGTCGCATCACTTGACTTCACGACGCCGTGCTTTGTTCACTACACACTACCCTTCACAACGCCTCAAATGGGAACATCAGTAGTGGATGGAGTATCCGGAGTATCGTGTTCACTTGTTGGGAGAGAAGCGCAAGAGTTGTGCATTTCTCCTTGTGCATGAGCATGGTTTAGTGACCTTGACTTTGTTTACATATTCAATGGCATCACGACCAAGGGGTTTCTTGTCAGAACACCTAGGAGAATGGCTTCGCCATCAGATGAGTAGATGTATGCTTATCAATATAGTAAAAATAGACAAATATAGACCGTGTATATATATATATAAACATAACACGCATATATATCACACACACATACATACATACATACATACATACATACATACATACATACATACA